GTAAATGGATTGAGCTTAAAACTTAAACTTTAGTAGGAGTATCAAGTTTCGAAATTAGTTTGATATATGAAGGTGGTATTGAAAATATGCACCAAGTGTGCGAACTGCACTTGACCCACAGCTTTACATTCCTTATGCTTGTGGCGTAGAGTATAAGAATCTGGCTCTGATACTCTAAAAAATAATTTTAAAAATTAACGACTATGGTCCACATACTCCATGAGCAAATATATTTAAGAATTTGTAATTATGGCCCTAAAGAATATTTAAAATCAGGAAATGGTTTAAAAAAATATTTGACAAAATTCAGGGAAATGGCCCAGAAAAATATTTAAAAAATTTCACGATTATAGTCCATACAAAAATAATTTTGGAATTCTCCGATTATAGCTTGGATATTCCCTATAAAATATTTTTCAAAATCCACGATTATCGCTATTAAAAAAAAATTATTAAATTTTTAAAATTATTTTATTAAATATATTAAAAAAAATATTAAAAAATTAAAATTATTAAAAAAAATTAATATATTTTAATAAACCTTAGAAAAATATTTTTAAAATTCCGGAAGCATTGCCGAAAAACAAAATTTTAAAACACCATGTCTTCATCCAAATTGGTCCTTTGAAAAAAGTTTTAAAAAATCTACGATTATAGCCCTGGTATTTGAATAAATTACCATTAAGCTGAGACGATCGTATATAAAATGTTTATGTTAAATCCACGATAAAACTGAAATGTTGCACTTGTTACAAAATTCATAAGTATGGATTTGAAAAATATACACATTTTTTAAAAAAAAATTGAATTATTTAGGCAAGGCAACCCTTTTCGCCCATGACCTTTGTTACTAACTTGGTTATATGTTCTCTCAGCAATTTTTCCTTTTTTGTTAGTGTTCCGTCCCTTACTTGTAAACAAATCACATTTTCCCTAACCTAAGTTAACACAAACGGAAACATAAGGATTTATTACACGATGGAAAAAAAAACCCCTAACATATACCTCCTTTTTCTAGCCATTCTCTTCTGATTAAGACGAACAACAACAGCAAAAAAATAAAAAACGACATTATTCAAATATACATCGGTGATGAATGGAAAGCAAAACTAAAAGTGACAGCTATAAATATTAGATGTGACACATTCTGGTGAATAGTTGAAGAGTGTCGTTTGAACAACGACTATTGTTGAGATTTTACTGGTGTTTTGTGTCATTGCATTGCAATGATGACATTTGTAGTATGTCCTCCATTTGGTGGATGGGGAAACGGGATGACAAAGATTATTATATACATTTTTTCTAAAAACAAGTAATACATACGAAATGAACTAAATTGTTGTAGAAGCTAACATAACATCTAAATTTTGAAATAATTTAAAAGTTAGAAATACTTAGAGCCAAAATTGGGTCACGGTAGCTGGTCCTTCACGGTAGCCTTGTCCATAAGACGAAATGGATTTTTAAGCAGCAGTTTTTGAAGAACCCATCTTCCACTAGATTGGACACATTTTCCTATTTTCCTATAAAGCAAGTGTCCGCTATTTCGTCAGCGTAAAGTCCACTTTCAAATTTTACACTCGTTCCCACAGTTCGACATTTTTTTAAAAATCAAAACTTTATACATCGTATCATTAGTTTCAGACTTTTAAGATTTTATATCCTATTCAAATTTTATCTTTTTCGGAAAAAATAATAGTCTTCACAATCCTTCATATCAAAGTTTATCGAACTGGATATTAGTAAAAACTTTGCACAAAGAACCCACATTCAATTTTCTTGTTCAAAACAATTTCAACTTCTCCATATGTAAGTCTTAAAAACAAACAGTGACCCCAATATCACATTTCACAACTTCAGCTCTGTCCCTTCTCTCAATATTTATTTTCGTAGCATTTAGTCCTTTTTGTACATTTAAAAAATGCATTTTCAAAATAATCGCCATATCTCAACCTCAGATACCAATAGTGATCTTAATATCGAATTTCGGGATTTCAGCTCTGAAATTTCTCCCAATTTCAGTACCATTAAGTGTAGTTATAGTACGAATATTGAAAACAAGCTATTTTTCAACCACAGGCATAAACAATAACCTCGACACCAAATTTCAGGATTTCAGCTCAATTCTCTCAACCAAAACATATTTGGCAACATATAGTACTCATATCTAAAACACCAACAGTGACCGCAAATTAGCACCATTTCGAGCAAATTTAAGTACGCATTTGCTAAACCACCAACAGATTCCAAGACCAGACACCAACAGTGACATCTGTATTAGATTTCAGGATGTCAGCTCCATTCCTTCAGCCTGTAGTAAATTTGGTACTATTTAGTACTTTTTACACAATTATAGTACACATTCCAAAACCACCTCCCTATCTCAATTCAACATACAAACAGAGACCTTAATGTCAAACATGGGGTTCCAGCTCAATCTCTTTCACCCAAAATCCAATTTGGTACCACTTAGTACTTGTCGAACAATTAACCAGCACCATATCTTAACGACAGACACCAACTGTGGCATCTGTATCACACTTCTGGATCTCAGCCCTATTCTTTCACCCAATAACAAATTTAGTACGCTTAAGTACTTTTCGTACAAATATAGGACGCATTTGCAAACCACAAAATTCAGAATTGTATCTCCAAGGATTCACCCAATACCAAAATACCGTACAATTTAGTACTTTTCGTACAATTATAGTACACATTATCGGAAACACCTCCATATTTCCAGACTACACATGCACAGCGACCCCAATTCCAAATATCAGATTTTAAGCATGATCTGTTCCTCCGAATACCAAATTGTACCAAATATTGTACTATTTAGTACTTCCCGTCCACTTGTATTACATATTTGCACAACCACCTCTTTATCAAAAGCCAACCACTAACAGGGAACCCAATACATATTTTCAAAATTCCAGCCTCATCCGTTCACCCTACACCAAATTTAGTACCATTTAGTACAGCTCGCACACTAAGTACACATATCCAAAACCACCTCCCTTCCAGATATCAACATAGACATCAGTATAAAATTAGTGGATTCTAGTTCTATCACTTCACCCAATTTCAAATTTAGTATTTAGTAATTTTCGTACAATTATAGTACACATATCGGAAAAGACTTCAATATGTCCAGGCTACAGATGAGCAGCGACCCTAATAGCAAAGTAAAGATTTTAAGTACTATCACCCAATACCAAATTGTACCAAATATATTACTATTTCGTACACTTTTAATACGAATTTGCAAAATCACTTGTTTATCGCAAACCTACCACCAAAAGGGACCCTAAGGCAAAATTTCAAAACTCCAGTCTCATACGTTCACTCTTAACCAAACTGTGCGAATTTAGTACCATTTAGTACAGTTCACACATTTAGTGCACATTTCCAAAATAAAAATTTCAAGTTTTTAGCTCTATTCGTTTCATAATTCAAAACTTTTCTCTTATTCAAAATTTCAGAATTTGAGCTCCATCGGCTGATCACAATTCCAATTTTTACTAAATTTAAGTCCATTTAGTTCACATAAGTACGAATTTCCAAAAATAATAATTGTACCAAATTTAGTACACATACGTACGAATTTTCGAACCTACGTACATTCCTTAGTCCTAGAATGCAATAGTTATCTTATTTCTAAATTTCCGGATTCCAACTCTGTCGGATCGCCCAAGTACAAATTATGCTTTTCGTTTTCGAAAACTTCCTTCATATCCAAATCCTACACTCCAACAGTAATGTTCAGCTCCATCCGTTCCTCCAAATTCAAATTGTAGTTAGTACCATATAGTACTTTTCGTGTACCTGAGTAAACACATCCAAGACTACCTCCTTACATCGATCCTACTACTCAACCTTGATTTCCATTCCAAATTTCTAGTTTTTAGCTCAAGCCGTACAAATGATACGAAATGGTTACACGAGATAGACCATAGTTCCTTTTGATGATCTGCATAGAATCACATTCTGGGTGGATTTATGCCTGTCCGTCCGTCTGTCAATGTAGTTTTGTGAACAAAGTACAGTTCGCATTTATTACCCGATCCAGATGAAATTTTGCACAAGTCATTAGTTTGGCCCAAGGACGAACCCTATTGAAATTGGAGATAATCGGTAAAAATTTAGATATAGCTCCCATATATATTCGTCCGATTTGCCTTTTATTGTCCACCAAACGTGTAATATCAGCCCGAATAGTATGGAATTTTGCACATACAACCAAATTAGACCTGAAAATAAGTATGCCAAATTTGATTTGGTTCAGATATAGCTATAGCTCACATATATATTGTTCATCGGATTTTTGTTTTTTTTAGACCTCCGCAGCCGTAGTATGCACTCTGTAACAACAATATTTGGGGAAATATATCAAATACAGCTCAGAAATACTTTTGCTAATTTTTTTCGAGATCGGTTCGGATTTGGATATATCTCCCTTATATAACCGAACGAGATCGGTTCGGATTTCGATATATCTCCCATGAATAACTTCGTCCGATTTACCTTCTATTGAGCACCAAACGTCTAATATATGCCCAAATGGTATGAAATTTAGCACTTACGACCGAATTGAGTCTAGAAGCTAGTATCTCAATTTTGGTGAAGATTTGTTATATTTGTTACCCACAGCCGTAATATGCACTCCGTAACAACGATATTTAGAGAAATATATCAAATACAGCTCGGAAATATTTTTGCCAAATTTTATCGAGATCGGTTCAGATTTGGATATAGCTCCCATATGTATCAAATGGGCAATACAAGTCCGAAATGCTTCGGCATATTTAGTCTTTTGAACTTTAAATTATAATTATTATCATAGCGTGTATGATAGAATTCTCCCATAAAAACTTTTAATTGTTATGTGGAGCTCTACCAAATTAGCAAAGTGGTGTAGGGTATCATAAAGCCGGCCCCGCCCGACTTTAAGACTTTCTTTACTGGTTTTCAAAATCAAAATTTGTTTCTTTTCATTTCAGTGCCGACGAAGGCTTTGATGGAACCTATGCCACGAATGTGGTTGTCCGCAACAATGGATCATGCCTCTATGTGCCGCCCGGTATATTTAAGTCCACGTGTAAAATCGACATCACATGGTTTCCGTTCGATGATCAGAGATGTGAAATGAAATTTGGTTCATGGACATATGATGGATTCCAGGTAAGTTAAGCCAAAATTAAAAACTCACATCAATTGCAAAACACAGTCAATTCCAAATTCGATACCGATAAACTAGAAAATGTTTAAACAAAAACCCCACAAAATTAAATTAAAAAAGTTTAATTGAACCAATCTATAAAACAAATTAAAACATTCAGGAAAACGAAAAATACCTCCTCTCGAAATGTGTAACAAAAAGTGAGTGAGAGTGGGGAAGAGAGTTAATTTAATAAAAACTCATCTATTGGAAAATGAAAACAAAACTCGGAAAATCGTAAAACATGTTGTTGTTATTACTTTTTTTGGCCACTACAACATGAATATTTAGTAACACAAAAAATCAAAAAAAAAAATTACATAAAATTGTAGTGTTTTTTGTTAACTGTCAATTGCCGGAAATCTTTGCTGTGCAACCAATATTTTACAATTTATTTATGGACAGGGCTGGAAATTGTGTCATTTCAATGGTTGTTTGAATATTTATGAAAAAAAACTAACTCTACGCCACACACACATAAACATACACGCGCCTATGCTCTGCAAATTTGAATATAACCAAATCGAAAGAGAGAGAGAGAGAGAGAAAAAAACATGTACTCTGCCATTTACCAATTTGCCAATTCACAGCAGGATTTTTATCGCGTTCAGCTAAATGTCGATGCTTTGGCTTGTTTTTCTTTGTTGGCCAACTAAAAACTAGCCGGCTAAGTGGAATTCCTAAATGGCAGACTGTGCAATTTAGTTGAATTTCGAACGCTTAAATTGAATTAGTTATTTAAACGAGTAAAATGTTTCAAAAAAAAAACAACAAAACTGGTTGTGAACATCCAAAAGCTATGAATATTCAATGGCCGGGACAATTAAACAATTCCCTTTGCCTTTGACCCGGCATTTTAACGGAGCCCAAAATCAAATTCTCTATGCAAATCTTGTTGTTATTTTTTTTTTGAATTATAAGAAAAAAACTTTGTTATATGGGTTCAGTATTCGATAAAAGGTTTTACAAACAACATTAGGTATATTTTAGTACATAGTATGCATAGAGTGAAAAATACTAAATGGTACAACATACAGGGTGAGATGAAAAAACTGCACCCAACTTCAGACAGCTGTCAATTCTAAGCCAAAAGTGGCTATCGTTAGGGAACTGCTGCATTTAACTGTGATTAAATCGTTGTCCTGCAGTTTGTAAACAAATAAACTGATCGTGTTTACTTGCCAAAGATGTCAGCTGAAAATGTGCACCTTCGGTTGGCCACCAGAACTCAAGCGCTGGCCATGGTGATGGTGAGGGCCACCATAATAGCCGATGGTCGCTCTCCGCTCGTATTAATCGACCGTGGCATCAGAATAAATGCCGAATATTATCGCGAAAATATTCTGGAGGGTGTATTAACGCTTTGGCACGCAAACATTTTGGCCGCAGACCTTGGACATTCCAACAGGGCAAAATGAAACATCGATTTTTTTACCCTCAGTCATATGACTACAGAGCGTATATATCATTTGACACGATCCAAACGTGCCTAGTTGAAATAACGGTTTTAGATCCTAGGTCTCTTTGAACAAAATCCGTTTCAGGACATTTGTAGTCGATCTAGCAATGTCTATCCGTCCGTCTGTCTGTCTGGCTGGTGCGCACAATAACTCTCGGGAGTACCCGATAGGCAATATCGGTCCACTCCTTCTAGTACCTCCCCAAAAAAGGTAGAAATTTTTTTTCGATTTTGCTCCAACTTTGCAACTTTAAATATTTCCATCAGTGCTAGGTCAGGTGCGAAAATGGACAGTATCGGTCCAATCCATAAATTGCCTCTCCCCACAAAGGGTCAATATTTTTAATAATTACAACTCTTATAAAATGTGATATAGGACCCCGATTGTCTTCAAATTTTACAAATCCCAATATTTGTATTAACCCAAATTCTGGTGTCTGGTCTGGTGATGGAATACATTGGTACACTCCTTCTGGTACCTACCCCACAAAACATCAAAATTTTCAAAAATATATTTTCTGCACAGAAAGAGAAACGATAATCCAATTTTGCTCCAACTTAGCAAATCCTAATATTTTCGTCAGTGCTAGGTTAGTTGCGAAAATGGACGATATCGGTCCACTCCATCAAGAATCTTCCTCACAAACGGTCAAAATTTTGAATAATTACAACTCTTATAAAATTTAAAATTTATTTTTAATTTTTATTAAAAAATATATAGGTCATATTTGTTTAGGTCCGATACGAAATGGACAATATTGACCCATCCCTTCGGAATCAACAATTTGAATAATCATAACAGAAGTCAAAATATATTTAAATAATCGAACACTGGCTCAGGATGTACACCTGTCTGCAAAGCCGACTGATATTTTTATTTTTTTTTTTTTTTCAATATTTTTAAAACCTTATTTTCTGGCGCATTAATATTTAGGATTTAAAAAAAATGGTTTTAAGAATATCCGGCAGTACATATAGTAAATTTTTATTTTTTAAAGAAGGTTCCAAAAGCAATAAGTCGTAAATGTTTTAAATGTTGATTATTTTATTTTACTTTTCAAATAACATAATTATTAAACATAAATTTGAACGAACTCCTGATCAACACTCATGGATGGATTTAAATACTTTTGAAGAACCTCCTGATCAAATACAGTTGATTGTACACATATTTTGAAATGTCTAGGGTTTTTTAATTTCTTTCTTTAAATCTTATGCCAAGAATAGATTTTTTTGAAGATGTCAAAAAGGAAAAGTGTATTTTAACAACAACAAAAAGACATGCTTATAAAAACTTGTCGTATGAGTCGTGATTCATTCAAAATATTTTTGTTTTTATTATTCCTGGCCTATACATAAAAATGATTCAAATATACAAATCATCAAAAAAGTTGATTTTTGATTCAAAGAGAATTTAGAAAATTTATTTATGAAAATATATTTTTAATGGTTTAGTGGATTTTTTCTTTTTTCTAATTATAATAATAATTAACTGCCTTTTTTGTAAATAATGCAAGCAAGAAAATTTGTATAGAACATACAGGTATAAAAATGGTCAGTGGCGCCCAACGTACCAACTATGTTCTATCATTTCCAAAAAGAAATGGAGGAGTGGGTGTTTATGTTATTTAACAACTGATTTATTAATATTTATTGATTGATTTTATTATATGACGTCGTCCTTCTTAAACGATTTTTTTCCAGCTTTTGTGCTACCTATGACATTTTGGGAAACTTCGTGTTGTAGATTATGCCCTATTTGATTTATAAGAATAAAACTATTGTTGATTTACAAATCATTTTAGCCCACATAGTAATTCATACATAATTTATTATCCAATTTCCAAATTTATTTGTACACATCGATATTTCCAAATAAATTATGTAAATGAAATGAAAATGATTTCGACATTGTTCGATTATAATTATCGTTAAACGAAAGCATTTATATCCTGTAATACAATTTACCAACTTTCAATGATAAAATACTTAAATAGCCATATTTATGCAATATTATGAAATTAAAAATAACATGTATTGAATATTATACAATTTCTGATTACTATTAGCATTATCATCTACACATTTGCATAATTTAATATTTTCGACAATATCAAGCAGTAGCAACAACAACAACGTATCAATAATGCTGGAAACAATGCACATCAACATTCGTTATCGATTACTGATTGACTTTGCGAGATGTTTAGGGCCTCCCACAGCCATTGGCAAGAGATAAGCACTTTTATTTGCGGAAAAAACTTTGACTAAAAAAAAGACGTTTGGTGTGGTTTGAAATTATAACTTGCTTTCTTTATTTTTCACTGGCTTATATACTAAAATTCTGTTTATTGCTGCATTTTCGTTGTCGGAAATGCAGCAGAAAAGAAAATACAGTTTTAGGCTAATATTAATATTTAAGTAAACAATTCTTTGGAAATTTGTCTGGAATAAAATGTTGAATTGCATATCAATATTTTAATAAACAATTCTTACAAATAAAGTATTAATGAATATTTATTCTTTGGAAATTTATTTTATAAAAATGCTGGATTTGCATATTAATATTTTGGTAAACAATTCTTTGGAATAATAAAATGTGGAACGATTCTCATTAAGGGAATAACGGGAGACACTATCGTTGAGGGGAATTAGTAGTTGATACTATAACACCCCCACCGCTAGTTTGAGGCTCCGACGAAATTATATTATCTTTGCCGGATTGTTTATAATAGTTTGGTTTTTTAATTGTACATTTGGAACATACGTTTGTTTATTGTTAAAGAGATATATAAATATAATTAAGATACATATTGATGTACCGATTAAAATATCTATACTATAGCCAATTATTTTTGAGTTTTTATCTGTATATAGTACTTGTTTCAGTGTTTCCTCGTATTCTATTTGTTTTAGATATAAATTTTCAAGTTTTATGTCTGCAAGTGTTGTGTTACTGGTATCTTTAATTTTTGTTATAAGGTTAGGTAGGATAAACTTGTCTTGTATTTTTATTTTAAAATTCGTAAAGGTTTTGTTTAACGTGTTTACTTCACAATTTTCGAATTTGATTAAGTAATTTCCTGAAATTTTTAATTTATCTTTGTTACAATTATGCGATATCGTACTGTTAAAGTGTTTAAGGATTAATACTCCTGGAATTATTTCGCTAATTTCTTGTGTATTTAATGTTTGCGTTTTGCAATTAGCTTCTTCAAAGTTTAGTATATTGTTCAAACAATTATCATTAATTTTTATAAGATTTCTTTTAGGTTATCTTTAATATACGTGCTATAAATATTTCTTTCTAAATCTATAAGAACATCAAAATGATTAACCATTATGGATTTATTATTTTTGTCAGGAATGGGTACGAATGTTACCTTGGATAGTGAATCTTGGGAATATTGTGGTATAGAGAGAATTATTATAATGTTCCCTTCATTACGTGCTATGGCTACTTTTATATTGGTATAGCTGTCAAAGCTTGTGATTAAATCGAGT